CTTCTAACACCACTAAATTATTAATCTGAACAATTACATGGGTGCTTTACAGACTATATCGATCATCTTTTGACCCTCTGCTGACTTCAAAGAATTTACAACTATTTAAATTTGTAGCGTTTGAGAAATCTGAGGAGCAGAAATCCCAGTCAACACAACATATTTGTAAACTGGAACTATTCAAGCAGGTAAAAGGTCAGTTTTAGAATGCATCAGAAAACACGTAGAAATAAGAAGTTAATGTAAGTCTAATATCTTGACATTTTTATCCGTCTTAAAGTTCAGTATATTAGTTCTAACTAACTTTTTCTTTATATCTGGGTCTTGTGCGTTATGAAAGTGAGCTGTCCTTTTTCTCCAGCTTTGTTCTCTGTTTTCCACTGGGAAATCCCAGACCATACCCAAACCCAGACAGTGTATGTAATCCCTACCAGCTTGTTCCGTTTTCGCTCTGAGGCTTTTTTTCCCCAGGTAAAAATGCCTGAAATACCTCTATTGGAAAGCACCCAGGAGGCACTACAAGCCCCCTCATCTGTGTCTTTTCAACACAAGAACCTGCAGTTCAGGTCTGAGCTCCCTATGGGTGTCTGAGTACTAAGACTTGCACCTGAGGGTGAGTGTATTTATGATATTCTTTATTAGAATATCATGACTTTTTTATTCTTTCTTTCCTGTGAATGAATTCAAGAGTGAAACATTTTTTAACCTGGTAAACCCTGAGGGGGTTGGAGAAGTATGTTCTAGTTGAAAATATGCAACAAAATAAATTGAGAATAGATCCACGGTTATCAGATCTAAATGAAAACGTGTGTACAGGTAATGTTTTCTAGAGTCAGCATTGTTCGGCTGTTTACATGCATGACTTATTAGTGATTAAACAAAAAAAAATAAAGGAGTTTAACTGTAATGCAAATTAATAAAGCCTTTTTAAATCTACATATTGACTAAAAGTTTAACGGAGGAGGACTGAATCAGTTGAAGCATGTTTGTCCTGCAAAAGTTTTAATGATACAAAGCCGTCATTTTGGCGTAATTCAGCCAAAAGTGTCAAAATTGTGCCAAATATGTTTTAGACCACAGCATGTTTCTCAGTTCATGTTTTTTGTCCCCTCTTTCTGCAGGTGTAGAAGCAGACTTCTGGGAGTTTTCTTGTATTTTCTTTGTTCTTCTTTCCCTTTGCTCTTTCCAATTTAATTTTTTGCCCCATGTCTCCTCCTTTCCTTTTTTTCCTCATTTTCCTCCTCTTTTCTGTCGACATGCTCACTGGATTTGAAAATAAACACAAAGCAATTGAAACCCGAAAAAAGAAAGAATAATCAAACGTGTTTTGTAAGTTTTATATTCACAATTATCATAACAGACAAGGCAAGAAATTGTATATCTGGCATCCAGTGATTTGCAAAGACTGCCTTGCGGTTCAGTGCAGTAAACGTGTGGAAAACAAAAATACGCAGGAAAACTTTAAAGGGAAATGAATCATCAAAGAAGGTAGACTGAAGTGGGAGATATTTTTTACTCATTACATTTTTTTTTTTGCATTATGATGTTCAAAATCAGCAGATGGAAGCAATGTCTTGGGACTGTTTAAATCTTCTGACATGACAGCCAAGAACCAAATCCTTACAAAACATATTTGTTTTCTTGTTTTATGCTTTTGTTGTAAGAAGCACCCCAGAAGTTGTACTGACTCTTACTCGAACCGTCGGGGCTACTATGTGTGAAATAAATGGCATTTTCCACATCTTCTATTTAGTGGATTTAACTCAGTTAAAACTCAGAAGCATTTCAGGCAGATCTTGAAAACATAAGCACAACTTAATGACTATTAATCAGGAGGACTGAAATTATCTGGCCAGTTACACACATTTCCGTCAGCTTCAGGCATCTAAGACAACTGAGTCGAGAAATATCTTTTAGATGTTGTTAATTTGTAGGAATTGTTAATGTGTGAAGAGTAAAAGGAAGCGTGTGACTGTAAATAAGGTCTGTTGAGCAAAATGTTTGATGCTCAATGATGTAAGAGCAGCAAAACTCACATCTAGTTAATTCCTTGATTAGCTCCTGAAGTCAGACTGTCATCTGTGAAATGTCTCAGCACTAAGCTGGAAAATGCATGTCCAGATGTTTTTTAGTGAGTCAGTGTGTGAAAAAACAGGGAAATGCTTCGATTTTTTTTTCTCTAAAAATATTAAAGGGTTAGTTAAAAGTTTCATTAATGAGCTGTCTTCTCAAAAACAGTCTATGCAAATACAAGATGTGGAATCCCTTAAGCATGCGAAGTCAGATCACAAATACTGTTTTTTTTTTTTTTTTTTGCTCTGTTAGTGACACAGAAAGTCAAAAGATGACAAAAACACCTTTAATTTATTTAAGTGGGAGTTGATTTTTTTAAATAAACCTGATAGGCTTTTAGTATATTCAAGTAAATTATGCAAAAAAATAAATAAAAAAATAAGCGACTGAAAACGCTTCTAGTTGTCCATGAAAACCATAAAAACATTATTTCAGTTTAGAATAAAATTTTAATATTTAGTTAGAATACAAGCAGAAAACATGAAGTGATCACATATTAATGTCTGATCATTTCAGGAAAATAAAGTGATGCAGTTAAAGGGGAACACAAAAGACTGCTGATTTACTTGCTAATCGAAAAATATAAATAATCATCCTTATTCCAGATCAGGATAAAGTTAGGACACACTGTTCACCAGTGGCAAGTCATTAGGGGATAGGCAACTTAATCTTTTTGCAACTGTCTATCCGTCTGTCATTGCTCTGAGGAAAGTTTGACCTACTTCTCTCTTCCAACTGTGAGATGTTTGAGGAGTTCCTTTCAAGTACTGAGCCTTTCAAGTTAATACACATCAACGTAATAAATCCAAGATTAAATTCAGTTCAGTTCAGATTATTTATGTAGCTCCAATTTACAACAACCAAGTCAAGTCAAGTCACTTTACAAAAAAAAAAAAAAATTTAATTCATTCACACATACATTCCAATTGATCCTAGCTATCAAACAATGCAGTCAGCTTAGTAAATTATTTAAAGTATTAAAAAGTTTCTATCTAAGGAAACCCATCAGGTTGCGTTGAGTCATTGGCTCACTGCTTTCACTCCTCCTGAACAAACGTGCAGCAGAAAATCGCTTGTGTCGAGTCGTTGACTTTAAAGCAGTCCCTCATATTGAGCATACATGGAAATCTGGATTTTGACTTTTAAAATTGACTTTTCATTTCACAATCTTCAGGTAGCTCATGGTGGATTTACTGGTATGTTTGGGTCATTGTCATGCTGCAGAATCCGGTTCTGTTTTTTTTTTTTTGACTGACATTCTCACCTTTTCCTCAGACAGGGTAGAATTCATGGTACCTTCTACCATAGTGAGCTGGTCATGTGTCGCCTGCTGTGCTTCAAAGCAGGCAACGTTATTAGACTATAATGATTCAATCTTGTTTTTTGACCCATTAAGACTGATTGAGCTTAAAGATACAACTTCATGGCCCAACATTTTCCTTCAAAGTTATCTGCAATGTAGCAGAATTCACGATCCCGTCCTTAATGGCAGTCATCCTGAAAAATCGAGGCAGACCAAGACTGTCACTCTGACATCACCATGTCAGTGCTGTCTATTCCTAAAACCCTGTTATTTTAAGGCCAGATCTAATTGATGCAAAACATCCTAAGCCTTCCAATTTAGACTCATCAGCCCACTAACAATTTCTCCCAAAGGTTTTGGTGACTACCGAGACCATTAAGGTTGATGCTCTGGATGGCCCAGTCAAAGTCCAGACCTCAATCCTATAAATTCAACTAGAGAGAGCTTCAAATATGCAAGAAATAATGGAGTAATATTGTGAAAATGTGCAAGACTGACTGAAACCCATCCACACAGATTTCATGGTGTTATTGCAGCCAGAGTTGCAAATTCTGACCTGAATGGTCACTTATTGTATGTTACCTATATTTATTTAATCTAGCCACTGTTTTGTAGAAATTATGTTTCACTTTGGCATTAGTTATTTCTGTAAATTCTTTTGTCAAAAAAAAAAAAATGTTGCTCACGATTGATTTGCAAAAGCAATAAAATGTTAAAACACTCAAGTGTGTCGTGTACTTATTGCTAAACACTTAAATGAGGTAAACTAGTACATTTTAGTTTTCTAAACTTGAGCGCATTGTGACACACTGAGCCTCATTAAATCTGCATATTTTAGGTTACATTGAGACCATACAAATGGGAATCCACTGTCAGTTTCAGGACTCATGCGAATCATCTATTGTCTGTGTGAGACACACATGATTTACAGAATGTAATATCAGTACACAAACATTTCCAGTGCATTAAGCAAAGTCTTCCACTTCTGCAAATACCGGCGCAGCAAATTTTCTATTCTCCACATCGTTACCTGTGTTTCTCCAATGCTTCACACTCTGCATGCCCGACCGTGGTGAACTGCATGGAAATGCTCGGCCACATAAAACAGAATGCGAGCCCTTACACTAAAACTGTAAATGGATTTATGCACAGTATTAAAAAGCTAATAACTCGGACAAAGCCGTACACCGGCACACATGGCTGAACAAAAAGACTCACTTGAACAGACTAATATTCAATCATTTCCTGCCATTTTGATAAGTTTGAAAAAATACCGGTGTAATAGACTTTTCAACATATTTCTTCACACTTTTTGCACAAGCAATCTCTGGGCTTAATAGAGTAACAGGCACAGCTGTTCATTCTTGGAGCGGGATGTTGGACTTCGCATTAAATCTGAGCACATTTATTTTACTCTGAGAAATGTTTACCTTCAGATTTGAGAACAAAAAACTAAAAAAATAAGTGTATTAAAGTCCTGTGCATTGACAAAAAAATCTATTTTGTCTGCAGTGTAACTTCAAATGAAGCTCAGAAAAGAAAACATAAATACTAACAGGAGATATCCTACACAGGTGCTAACATGATGGTGGCATTGGAGGAATATTCACACCTTTTTTTTTTGCATTACAATCCCATGCTTCGGTGTATTTGAATGAGATTTTGGGCGATTTTTAAACACGGTTCAGTGAAAACCTGTGAAGAGGGAATAACATTTTGTAACTTGTCAGAATGTAATTTAATCTCAGTATGAAGACAGCTGCTCTGTTAACACCTTAGAGGTTTCTTAGAGAACAATGGAGAACAAACGACACGCTGGAAACCAAAGAATACAGCAGACAGGACAGATAAAATATACCGAGATTTACTTCAGGTGTCGGCTATAAAAACAACTTTCTATGCTTTGATCGTTTCACACAGCACTGTTCAATTCAAGCAGCCAAAGGGCCGCTGGTAACTGTGGGCAACAGCAGCGAGCCACAGCTCCATCCATTTGTCAGCACATAAACTATTAGTCGTGTGCTCAGAAAACCTTACCTTCATAAAAAATCTGTTTCTAAATGGCTTGAGATTGGAGCGGGTGTTCATTTACAGATAATGGTAACCGTGAACAGAAAGCCAATCTTTCAGATTATTTCTAATAAAATTTAGAAAACCATTTTCCTTCAGCTTCACAGTTTTTCACTTTGACTTGGTTTGTCACATAGAACGGCAGTGAAATACATTGAGTTTGAGAGTAGTGGACGAGAATTTAGTTTTATACAAATAACTGTGTACAGTTTTGATGAGATGAAATTTGAAAAACTACACATGGAAGCTTTTGCAAGGCACAGTATGCTACCAGAAAGAGTTAACAGCTATTGAACATTTCCTTTTAGTATGGCAGCTTCATCTTTTGAAAATAACCTGTTTTTTTTTTAAATCAGCTGGTAGCATTCTGCAGCTGCCTTCCTTTGGTTTCAGCATTATCTTAAACAAATAAATTCCTCACGACAAGTTTGAACACAAAAGAATGAACTGTAATAATGCAGAAACAAACTGAGAAGAGAGGAAAAGATCACCAAAGAGAAGAAAAAAAAAAGCTATGGGAGTCCTGGTGGAGACAGATAGAACCACAGGCAAGACAAAGAAACAGACAGCATGCCTCTGCCAAAACCCAGACAGGCAGGGGGCTGCAGAAATGACCAATCTGGGCATGCAGGGAAGGACAATACACAAGAGAAATAAGTGTTGAAACTAAGTCAGGAGTCGAATTGCAGCCCAAAGGAACACAAGCTAACTCCAAAATAAACTGTTTTCATTTCCTTTATACTTTTAGATAATGCATGGGGAAAAAAGAGAATCTCTAATTAAGCTTACTGTCTCTTTAATAATATTTTCCCTCTTTAATGAGTCGATTTTATTTGATTTATTCAAAAGTAATAATATACATATATATTTTTTAATTTTATTTATTTTTTTCTCCCAAAACAACAAAAGCAAAAGCAGTAATTTGTCCACACAACATGTGGTATTTTCTTTGCAGTTTTTAAGACCTAGTTTATTCGCACATCCAGGGACCAAAAGCAGGTCGGATGCCTGTGGGCACGTCTCCTCCAAATTACCGGATTTACTTTTTCAAACAAAATATGGAAAAAATATTCCCTTTGCTGATGTAGATTGTTGCACAAGTTGTGGTCATGTAATTAATCCTAACATATGGTCACATCTTTGGCAAAAAGTCAAATAATCATTGTAATAAAAATTTTGATTTTACATGTTCCTATATGTATCTCATAATAAGAACCACACAATTATCGAATGCTCAGATTATGTTTAACAAATTGGGTTAAAAATATTCTTCAGCTGTCAGGAACTGTTAAACTGTAGCTCAGGTAGAGATGCACTAAAAACTCAACAGGAAACATAAATCAGTGTGTTTCACAGCAAAGATAAGGGTCTAGTAACTCTGCAGGGAATATTGTAGAAAGAGATTGTTAGAAATGCTGTGCAAACCATTCCATGCAGTATTTTTTTGTATTATTTTGAAAAGATTTTGTCAAGGAATATGAATATCTTACTCTGTGGTGCACAGTAAACTTTCATTTGCAAAAGAAAAGAAACTGATGAACTATAACCTGGTTGGTAGAGAGGCATATCAGAAAAATGTGTGAAAAACTGCCACATCCGCCATCACACAACGTAGCTTCTTTCCAGTCCGCTGTTTAAGCCGCCTGTGTGAATCTTTGCAAGTTGTTTTCCGTATAACTGCAGTAAAAAGGGAGTGGAGATCCACTCAGATTTAAAGTCAGACTGTAAGAATAAATGAACAGTAAGTAAACATTTTCCCAACTACATAATTCACTTGAGATATTGAACATTCAAATCCAGGTGCAGCTTTTTGTCCCCCCTCGGTGTTGGTTGATTAAACAGAGCAGGAAATTTCAAGCCCTGACCGGATCGTAATTGTCTCCAGCCTCGTCTCGGGAAGCACAGCATCGTGCATCTTCCATTCCACACAGCTACACTGAATAGATCCTGTCACCATTAGCACCAACTTCATTTTTTTATACAAAGCGCGTGGTCAAGCAGCAAGGATGATAGTGTTAACAAGTGCCAGGGCTTCTCTTTATCAGAGCTGCCAGTGCACGAAGACATAATGAGAAAGCGGCTTTATTGGTGCCACAGTATCTCCGGTGCTTAATGCTTTCCCCCCAGTGTGTTTTAGATGTGTCGTGTCCAGGCTTTAGGGGACACCTCTTAAAGAATGTTGCTGTTCCACAGCTGTTGTAGCATCTCAGAGACTCTAATTGATCCCATTTTTGCCGAACACATACCCACTGCTGTTTTGTCAGATAGAGCAAGTGTTGAGCTCACTGAGATGGATTCTCTGGTGAAGGGGTAGTTAGGGTGAAGGATGAGAAAGAAAACAGAGCATGATTAAAAAGAGAAGGGACAGAGTCTGGGGAAGAGAAAAGAACACAGCCTTAAAATTTCCAACGGCTTCAAGTCAGGAACTCTTTATTGTCTGGATTCTGCGCTGTGGCCACCTGATTGTCGATTGCGTCAGAAAAGGTCACCGTATTCAAACTGTAAAAAAATTCACACGGGATTTATTGTACTTCCAAAGTTCGTCGCACGTTCCAACTGTTCCTGCAAAAAAAAAAAAAAAAAAATCCTTCAAAGTCAAGAACGTGGCATGATTTAAATTATGCATTGTGGTTAATTGAGGGCAAGATCTGCTGAAAGTCGGTTTGTGGTCTTAGGCAAAGCAAAGGTAATTGCAGCATGAAAGACCTCCCCCTCATTCAAGATAGCAACTGTCAATGTAATTTAATTTGTATGTTTCCTTCTCCTCCTCAGAGTACATGTCCTGTGGGTATAATCATATGCCTGGATGTACCTCATAGAGAACAGTAAGTTCCAAGAGCAATGCACCGATTCTTGTGTATTTACCAGATTTCTCTGTTATTCGGAATCAAACACATTTGCTTCTAAATTAAGCTGGACTTGCAAGTTTTAATTAATAGTTAATGGTCACATTAATTTCGGGAATATGACATGTAACATTAATGTTACATTGCTCAGTGTGGGATTGGGCCACAGTCTGGGTGCTGCAGTGGAGATGATCAGATGATCTAGAACGATGTGGTGTTGCTGTGGTTTTCTACCACAGGAAATAACGCAGTGTGACAAAACTGGAAATGTTCAACAGTTCTGAAGATGCCATTATGCTTCGTATGACTTTATATTATTTACAATTCTGCAGGTGAAACTGTTAATTCTTCCACAATTCTGTAAGCAGTGACAAAGTGTTGCTCCTGTTTTAATTTTCCTTTAAGAATTTCAGTTACTTTTTAGAAGAAAAAAATGAGAATTTCTTTTTTTTTTCTTACGCTCGGGAACATATTTGACTGTGATGTTCATCACAAGGTGTCTCATTTGCTTTGCTGCTGACTGTGTCACTCCTTTGTGTATTCATTACAGTCTGAAACGCAGCACTTCCAACCAGCGTTGCCAGAAATGGGAATCTTTTTCCTGCCTCTATCCGTTGATCTCCTACGATTACGATCGACAACACTTGCCATCAAAACTTTAGCCATACTTTACAGCTGAACATCCTCCCAGAGTACACCGCTGCATTGACAACATGACAAAGCAATTTGACTGTCTTAATAATTTATATGTGTATATACAGGCCTGGGTGCTTCCTGTGCGCAGGAATATGGCCCTGTGATTGAAATGCAGCATGCATAGAAATGTAATAAATCAAAAACGCAGCAGTGCAGGAGAGGAATGCAGGGGGAAAATGTATGATTGTTAAACCATAAACCAGTGGCAAAGCAGAGAGTGGAAGTGCTTAAATGACCGGAGGCCGTGGACACTAAGAGGTGTTGTGTGAAATCATTTCCTGTCCACAAGTTGAGTCTTCATCCCTGAACTTATATTCATGTTAACAATGACTTATTTATTCTGGACTAACTGGGCTTGTTAGTTTCTCCATCAGCTACTTAAAAGTATTTCATGTGGCTGCATGATAAGGGGCTAAATAAAAAAAATAAATAAAAGATAAACACCAAAGAAATGTATGCTTTTAACCAAGTTTAAAGTCCCAGACACTAACATGAGCCAGATTTAATTAAAATATTTCTAAATTTCACTGCCTTGGAAAACAACCAATGAGGTGAATTCTGCCTAACAGTCCTTCAAACATGCAATCAATAACTATAGCTGCAGCTTTCTCCCCTCACAAATATTTTAGCACTCCCAACCAGTGCCCTTTCATTGCATATTTTCTTCAGCCTTCAAAGTTTATTGGCTTGCTTGTGACTCATCTTCCCTCCCCACTTCCTTGCTTTTCCAAGGATGTCTCTTAACTGAAAAGAAAGTCTTTCTTTGCTTTATGTAAGCTTATTCAAACTTGTTTCCAATGTCTTTCAACACAGTGGCAGCTACTTTATGATGTGGCTATGCCATTCTCTCTATAGCCAAACTGGAGGCAGGAAATTCGTCAAAGAGTGCACTGCATTAGTGCTAATTAAGATTCAGAAGTATAATTTACATTTACACATAAAATGATACATTTCTCCAAAAGCAAATGTCAGAGTTAAGTTATTACAATATTTGTTCAGCCACGGTTTGCAACAGAACTCCATCTCAGTCCAACATACAGCATTTACATGCATTTAGGCTAATCGAAAAGCTGTGTCAGAGTTTCAAATAACATTTGTTTTGGTTCATTTCTACTTAACACAGAGGAACATTTAATTAGGGATCACTGTAGGAATCTGTTTCACACACTGATCTGGTCATCAGAATGATCTCTTTCAATGATAGTCTTGACAGTGTTTGAAAGGATGGAAAATAAATAAACGCAGAGAGTGGAGAAGACAACGGATTCACTGATGCCCTTGATGTTTCTGACAGCTGACTGCCAGTTTGCTGTGTCAGGGTTTTTAGCACTCACTTTCATTTTGCTTCATGTGATAAATGGATTTTTGGGCCCACATGCAAACCTCTGAAAACCGACACCACACAACACCCTGAACTCACCATCCTGCATGCAAAATTCATATAAAGGAAATAATCAAAAGAAAATAACATTAAGCAATATTAATGTTCAATAAAATGCCTGACATTTTTTATTTCCTAAGAATTGAAATGAATGTTTTGAGTTTTCACCATAAATATGCCAAAAATGCAACCAAAGCAAACAGCTCACACCATTTTCACATGTAGGCTCAGCTTAACATATTTTCAATTGCTTTTTTAATCGGGCAGTGAAACAGAAACATGGCCCATCCAAATCCTAAGATCTTTATTTCTCTCCCATTTACAAGAGCTTTATGTGTTCATTTGGTTTTAGTTTATCTGTGATCCCTTAACAGGGGCAGTTGTTCGGTGCGGTGTGCAATCCCCTGATTTTCAGTCTAGAAACGAGACTTTTCATGATCTGTGATGACTGTAGAAATCATGTGGCGTTTCCCCAGCTTCACTTCATTTTTAATTCAGCTGATAACAGGTTTCCATTCCATTTTTAACACATAGTGCGTGAGAAAAAGTTAAATAGAGAGTTTTTCTCTTGATTTGCTTTGACTGTTGTAATTTTTAATGACTAGTTTTATTGCAGAGCTGAGCTAAAAACATGGCTCTGAAATGAAACCGAGCTTAAGCTCATAAGATCATCACACAAGCAGGTCCCACAATTTTGCCCATATTTTCAGTATTGGACAAAAAGTAGTGCAGAAGTTCAAATTTATTAACCACTATGTCAAGATATTAAATTCAGATTTTTTTTTTCTTTTTTTGAATGATGACATTACATCATCCTTTTTAGCATTATTTGGACAATGGGTCAAAACATAAACACCGAAAAAGGAGTTTGCTAAAAAGTCGTTGAAACAAGTCTTCACTTAAGAAATGTCTTATTTTCATGTGGACCAGATATACAAATGAAACAGAAAAAAAAAAATCGGTGTTAGTCTGAACAGGGCTAACACCCTGTTAGCCCTGTTGAAATGAAATGAAATGAAATGAAATGAAATGAAATGAAATGAAATTTGAAATGAAATGAAATTTTATTCGAACATGAT